GGGGATTATAGGGAGTGTAGTATTTGAACTACTTCTCTTTGAGGGGGTATACTTATTATGGCGGGAAGGCTTTCTGTTTCCAAGGGAACGCGGAAGAATTCCTATAAGCCCTAAACCCTAAACCCTAAACCCTAATGGGGGGAAGCCTCGGAGGTGATGTTGTCCATCTTGCGGTCTGAGTCTATCCTCGACCTACTCGAAAATCATATTGACTGCAACAGGTGCGGTTTTACGGTACAGGGTACCTATAGGGTTTAGGGGTTCCAAAGCCTAGGGGTCCCTTTGGAGAAGTTTTGAGGGTTTATTGTTTTTGGCGCCTGTATGGACCTGGACCCAACTTACCACTATGGGCTATTAGACCCTAAAATTCCCTATTAGGACCCTATTAAGGGTAGATTAAGGTACTCTTAAGGTCTAATAGCCCATAGTGGCCTTACCCAAAGGGTCCTAAATACCCATATGGGGAATACTTACCCAAACCATAAGGGAAATTACTACTACAGAAACCATACTTTGTACCATATAGGTACTTTGGACCCTTTGGGCTATGGGAACTAACAGGTCGCAGGCCGCCAGCTTGCGCTTCAGAACGAAACTGGGTTGTGGTTGGATGGGATTCGATTGTGGTTCAGGCTTAAGGGTTTAGGGCTTAGGGGTTTAGGGTTCGGGGTTCAGGCTTAAGGGTTTAGGGTTTAAGCCGTTGGGTTTAGAGCTTATAGGTGTAGGGTTTGGAACATGATTGCCCAGACCTCCTAAAGGATCCGAAAAATAGAACCTCCCAATAATCTTCTAGTTTCCCCGACGGAGTCATGGGGGTCTTTTGGGTGGTTCCATTTTTAGATCCTTTGCGCGGGGTCTGGGTAGATGTCAGAGTACCTCCCAACCGTTTACCCTCAGCTGAAAGTCCGAGGCCAACCTAAGCCCTGAAGCCCGACAAGCTTACCTCGGGTTCGCAAAGAATCAAGGAAGGCATGCTTTGAGCAGTTCTGATACAAACCTCAATGATATGGAGTAATATGGGGTATCCTCAAAATGACGGGCCCCATTTGGCTATAGAATATAGATTATGGCATCGGGGAATCCACGCAGTAAGCAAGAGCCTAGGAAAATCCTATGCTGCGCTGTCTCGATGCTGACACTTGCGATGGCAGGATTAACCTGTTGGGGATTCTTACCAGGCTGGGGAGGTCATACACGCGGGTTTCCCAAAATTAGGGGTACCGTTTTGGGGCTCCTTAAGGACCATAGTATATTGGGGTTTATTGGGGCCCCCTTATTTTGGGAAACTACCACATGGCCTTTAGAGTTTACTAGGCCCAAAAATCACGAATAGGAGTTTGAGGTTCTTTTGGAAGTACCCTATGCTAAAGCTAAAAAAGGAATGAAGACCGTAATATTGGTGGTTATTTAGGCTGTTTATGTCTTGTTGGTGCTTGGCACCCACTATGAAAAGTCAGATAGAACATGAAATGGAAACTGGCTTATAGGTTTAGGCTTAGGGTTTAGGGGTTTAGGGTTTAGGGACACAGGGCTCGAAGGCTTGGCAGCGATAATCTGGGCAAATTATAACAAGCTCAAGCGAGCTGACCCCTAATTTCAATTAGATATTCAAAAAGGCTTTACTTCAGCATGCTGAATTGTTGCAACGCAGCGCTGAGGGTTTAGATCAGAGAGTTGTCCTTTTGACCCTTGGTTTTGGATACCTAAGGCATGGACTATATTCCGTAATAAGGGAAATTGTTGGGAACCCAAAACCCCAGGTTACCAGCACTAAGGGTACACGGCTAAAAGTCTTTGATTAGGATTCTCCAGTCTTTTACATTGGGGCCTTTTCGCACACAAAGCTGACAGCGTTGAAACTACAACTACGCAGGCTTTCTGCATCCCGATTACATCGGGGCACTTGGAAATGACCAGCCGGATCATCGTTTCGTCTACGGCATCGTTCATAGCTTCGCTTTTGTGGTGGTTTTGCCAATCATGTTTGGCAGTGGCTTCAGTGCCATGGTGATACTGATGCTCATCCAAGAGCTGTGCTTTATGGCCTTCACAACGAACCTCCAGCGTCTCAATCCAGACCTCAGCAATGTGAAGCTAGACAGCACCTTTGCATCTACAGCTGCTTTGAGCGTTGAAGAAGGAGACCTTGCCCGATTCAAAATTGGCTTTCTCAAGACATGGCAGCTGCAAAAAAAGATTCATCGGCGGATAGCCATCCCGTACACAGTATTCTGGGTTTGTCAACTGGCTGCCTTGCCTTGGTCAGTCATCAGCTTGTCACAAGGCTTCGCCGCAGACTTCTCCGACGAAAGGCTGGAGAGGCTGCGCCAGCACCAGCACTTGCAGGTCCATTCCCAAAAATGTGCAACCTCTTACTTACCCAGTACCTCAAAAGCCGTCATCCTCGTTGTAGGGACTCACAGAAAAGAGACCCTGGAAACTCCCAGGTGCGCTTATGGGCAATCATGCTGGTCAGCCCCTGGTTTGGCATAGAAGGCTACATTTTCGGCTTCTGGCCCTGGCTAAATCTCTATTATCACCAGCGGTTCTTCAATCTCACGAAGCAGATGATCTTTACCAAGATGCAGGTTGAAACTGCGTTCCGCAGTTTCCTCCGTGACTTTGCACTGCACTTCAGCGCTTACGCTATTCATGCAACAGCTGCCATGCTGCCGCTTTATTTTTCAGTGCTTTTAGTGAACACGCTTGGCAATGTCGCAGGCGGAGTTCGCGTTCTAAGGGCTCTTTGGGAACTGCGTACCTAGCAGGCCAAAATGTTTTTTGAATTCTAGATGCTAATGAAGTAGTGTTTCTCCCCGGATACATGTTGGGAGAGGGCTTTTGCTCAAGTACTTCATTAATTCTTCTCACATGGTTGTTTCCAGAAGTAGAGGGACCCCAATGTAGACCCCAAACTATTGTAATTCCTATAAACAAGGACCCTTAATGCTTGGAAACCCTCATGTTGTCTCAGTGCAAAGCAGGAGACTCTTGCCACCCGATTAGGTCCTCAGAGCAGGACCAAAAAGTCGTTGCGTTTGCCGCGCCGCGGAAGTGTTGAAGCCCTGCACGCTAAACCCTAAGCCCCCACGGGCTTAGGGCTAAGGAACCCTAAGCCCTAAACAGTACACGTAATGCCAAACCTCAAGCCTCGGAATCCCTTGAAGCCCCCACCCTTCAAGTAGCGCCCTCCGCCTTTAAGAAACATCCCCGCCCCTACCAAACACACGCAGGACCGCACCGCAAGATATCGCAACAAGATTAGGATGTGTATCACTGTGTATCTATTCACGGGGGTGTGGCTGTGTTGCCGGTGGAAGGGTCCAACCTCAACCATTGCAATTAACACGCTCAGCATCAGCAATAACACATGAACGAATGGACTAGTGGTGCGGAAAAAAGAAGAAAACCATGCTACTAGGAGCCAAGCTTTATGACGGGTGATATGATAGAGTCCCTCCTACTTGGATGTTTTGTAACATTTGTAACCTACACTCTGAACCCCACCACAGCCTCAAGAACCCTCTTTCCATTTCAGTTTCTAATTTCTTTTCCAATGGGTTCTACCATCCCCCAGAACCTATAAACCCTCAACCCCAGAAGCCCCCCAAATGCCTTCAAAGGGACACCAGGTAGTACATTCAAAGCGTCTGTGAGGTCAAAAAGGTTGAGGATCCTCAGCCTTAAGCCCTAAACCTCCGTGAGGCCACAGAGGTTTAGGGTTTAGGGTTGGGAATCCTAAATCCCTAAACCTCTGTGAGGCTACTGATCTGCATGGTCTCAACAAGGGCGAAGCAAGCCATCCTCTGGGGGCCGGGAGTCCTAGGGTGATGGGTTTGGGGTTTAGGGTGATGGGTTTGGGGTATTAGGGTTTTGGGTGTAGGGTGTTTTGGGTTTCAGTGGTCAGGACTTTTGGTTTAGGATCTAGGGTTTTGGGTTCAGGGGTTTAGGAGGGTAGTGTTAGAGTCTGGGTTTCAGGGTCTTGGGTTTAAGCTTTGGGGTGGTTTAGGGTCTCGGGCTGGGTTTCGGGTCAAGGGCCTGGGGTTTAGGGTCTAAAGTTTGGGTTTAGGGTCTGGTGTCTGGGGCTTGAGGTTAAGTTCAGGCCCAGGAAGCCCAAGACACTTTAAGAACTTAGGGACTATACCCCAAATGATTTACAGATCCTTGTGTTATTTGGGATATCTTCCTCAACTAAGCGGAACTTAGGGACTATACCCCAAATGATTTACAGATCTTTGCATTGCTTGGGGTATATTCCTCCTCTAAGCGCATCCAGCTTAGGGAACTTGGAAGCAGGCGCCAGAGCTGGGTTTCGGGCTTTGGGTTTAGGCTTCATGGACTTTAGAGATTCATATTAGGATTTCAGGATAGAAGGGCCACTGTTAGGAGCCCGCCCTTGGCACATAAACCCTAAACCCTAA